TTCCTCTAAGAGAACATTATAGTTTACATTAGCACTGACAGTATACTCCTATGAGCTTTAGAAAAATAATTTCTTCAAATAATCCCATCATTCATTTTTTTTTTACATAACAGACTTCAAGTATTCTAATCTTTTGATTGCAGTCTGTGAATATAATTGTTGTGATGAGGGGTTTTTCTCGAAGAAAAATGGAAGCTTTTGAATGTGAACCTAACATGTCAAAACACGAAATGATAGAAACGATTAACAATGAGTAGTTTTAGTTTCGGGGTCACGTCATGTGAGCTGGCTCATTGTGGTGCTGTCGGAGCTTGTTGGGAACCCTGGATTTAACGGGGTCAGCGTTCATTTGGTTAGCAACATCTGTGCTTTCCTCATGGTGACACGTCAGATCATCTTCTGCCTGCACAGAGGTTTTCTCCGAGAGGAAAGCACCTGTTAGAGTCCTTGTCAATCACAGGAAAAGGCCCCAGAACATAGATTATAAAAAAGGCCACTCTATTTGTTTTTGTTCTTTTATAGTCATACTTGTTTTTGAAGAATGAAATGGTCACGATTATGGCTCTGAGTTTGATTACAAAACATTTATCCTTTTTTATTTGAATTTAACATCTTAATCCTTTCTGCAGCTTTGTTTAGAAAAATAAATGTCCATAAATGTTCATAAGAAGAGGTGCTCGAAGGGCCGCCAGTGAAGTTTGCGAACCCTAAAATTAGGTGTTTTAGGCTTGTTTTTTCTGTTAGAAATGACCTCTTCTGCTTCTAGATGATATGCCGAAAGACTCCATGCATGTTCATCTCAGACATAGCAGCAGCAGAAATCAGGTACACAGTCCATAGCGGCTCACTCCACCAACCAAAACTGGTGTCTTTAATAGCGCGCCTCATTTGTCACCTGGGCCCTCACCATTTCTGCTATTATATATTTAAAAAAACTTATTAAAACTGACACATTTCTTTTCCTTTTTCAAAAGACTTCCATATTAAAACTTTAAATCCTTTAGCCTTCCCTCTGCTGTCAAACACTCGGACAGGAGAGGGAACAACTAAAGGAGTGCTCGTTTCCCTAGGGACGCTTTTGCCCACGCACCAGGATAACAGAATTGGACAGGTCAGTTCAAGTAAAGTATTGCTTATGTGCAAATGATTTGTTCTGTGCAATAATGGTTGATGAAGTGCAAAGTGGTATTACTGGTCTGCTTTTATCTTTTAAAAGTGCAATCCAATAAACAGTAATGTATGTCCACGGTCTTCCCTTAGTGTATTTGGGGACTGAAGACTTTTTTGGCTTCCATTCTTGCCCCCCACCATTTTTGCTTTGCTGCTGTTTGACATTTTGTGGTCTTTTCGTGGTATTTTGTGGTTTCTACTAAACAAATTGTGAAGTTGAATGCGGTCAAGAATTTCAGACCAATGGTTTTTTAAAGTGCGTTTTGATGTTTAACGTTTTCTTTCTTGATTTGATCATAGCATTTCTTTATTATGGGCTCAGTTCCAATGACTTTGTTCAGAATCTAACCCTTCATGGCCAGCTCTTTGAATTTAGCCCACCTATACTCGATTTCTCTTCTAGGACACATTCTGTTTTGGGGTTTTTTGTCTTTCACACCGTCCTCGTGACTTATTGTCTATTACGCCTGGTTGTCTTTATTGATTTTTTTTCCTGGGTAGATTTATGTTTGGGCTTTTCCCATTGTAACGCCTATTATCATTGTATTTTGGATTCCCGAATATTTAGCACCCTTTTTAAGAAATATTGATGTGTTTCTGTGCCTTTAAGTAAATGATTCCAGTTGCAAACTGTGGCATTAATGGAAGGAACGTTACCTCATCATTTACATGATAAATTATTCCAAAATGCAATTAAACAATCTTAGAAAGCCATATTAGAACATATCGATTTAAATCTTTATAACTTTAACACCTTTTTGGCAACATGTGAAAAACCTTCCCATATAAATTTCTGCACCAGATCACGGCAAACAGCTGCTATTTGTCATATTTGCTTGCTTGCTTGTTTGCTTTTCAGCTTCAGTTGACACAAAAATAGTCCAGCTCAGAAATGTGCATTGTGTGTGTTTGTGTGTGTGTTTGTGTGTGGGGGTGTTGATGCACGCATGCAGGTGCACTCAGAGAGCCGGATGCTGCAATGAAACGGAAGGTTTCACCCCCCGTTGTTTTCTCGGCTGCTCTGTGACCACATCCTGCCGCTGCTCTGCAGGTTTCGGGCTTGGTCTTGCTTCGTCTTCCTTCGTCTTCCTCGCCAACAACAGCTTTGAGTTCCTTCTCGGTACAACCCAGAACGCCGGTCCCCTGATGTCGCGCTTTTAGCTCCTGCTTGAATCCCCACCGACGGTGTTTTAACTACCAAAGGAATTGTCTTCAGAAAACAAAGCCGATGTAGAGTTTTTACCCTAAAGTTGAGTCGTGTCAGTATTGTGTGGGAGAATAACAAAAGACTTCTCAGAAAATGGGTGTGTGGGTGAGAAACTGAAAATACCTGCAGCTCTCTGTGGAGACAAGCAGAGGAGGAGGCAGGACGACAGATGGACAACTGACACTGTCATCTTTATGTTTAGTCCTATCTTACTCATATTCAGAATTATTTAATATCTCTAATATAATGATGGTATTAACAGTTTTCTTATTCCCCGGAAATCATTTGTCAAAGCAAGCAAATACAGAAACACACACCATCACCAGAGTTGGTTAAAAAGCCTTTTATTGAGCAGAAAACTTTGCAAGCAAGCATTTATCGGGAAACTGGCAAATCTTTCCAACTGAAACTTGAACGACACAGCGACAAAGCAGCTTCGCAAATGATATATGAATACGCCAGCCATTTGCGATTTCAGCTTCAGCTCTGCTCCCGCTTGTTCTGCTTTCTACCAGAGATCTGTAACAGAGAGAAATGACAGAGCACGTTAGAGTCGCTTCATTCCACTCATAATCCAGAATGGTGCCTTGCACTGGGGCTTGTTTGGAACAAACCTGAAGCTTCAACACCAGGAAGCACACAAAGGCCCCGTAGATGCAGCTCTTGACGATGATGACGGTGTAGGAGAGTTTGGCGTTCTGTGTGAGCCTCATGTACCCAACTGCAGGAAGGTCAGGGCAAATAAAAAATCCTTTTAGAACCGTTCTTTCAAAAAATACAACGCAAACAATATAATGACTTCAGGTGATAAGAACCACAAAGAGACCTATTTACCTCTTGACATGACTCTTGATTTATCTGATGGAGATATGAATAGATTAGACAAACACTCTTGATGCATAAATACTTGAGTGCTGGTTGATATTAAACTAACATACCGTTATCCCCACTTATCGTTTTATTGCTCCAGTTGTACGCAGATCCATTGAAGAACCTGACTGCGCAGGTGAATTTAGTCTTGGAGGAGAACCATTTCTGGGCAGGGACCCTCAGCCTGCTGGTGATTCTGTAGAAGGAGTCGTTCCCCTGGACGGCCGCGTGGTCAGTCGCCACGCCATCGGTGGCATCTGCCCCGTTGATTTGCCAGTAGATGCTGACGTGGTCCGGATAGAAACGCGTGGCCGCGCAGACCAGGGTCTTCTTCTCTGCGTCGTCCCGTTTGTTCCTGATCTCTTTTTGTGCGGGGCGAAGAATTTTCACGGTCGGCTCGGTGATATTGATATTCGAATCTGGAGGAATGATTAGAAATTATGTCAAAAAAGTTTAAAAAAAAACTAAACCACCAACTCACTGTGACTTTTCTAAACACTACAACAAAGACAGGAAGACAGAAAGAACATTTTTACCCTCTGCATTACCATCAAATCCATCATAAGGTCTGATCGCAAAACCAATATTCTTTTTTATGAAGTTACCTTCCCCAAAAGAAGTAGGGTAGGCACCAATTAATGACATGTAACTATTAAACAAGAGTTGCAAGGTTTCAAAGTTACTGCATTTGATTTCTTTTCCTGCCTTTTCCAATACAAACAAAACTTTATCACACGCAAATCAGGCTTTCCCCTCAATTTTTGAGGAAAAGAAAAGAAAAACACAATTGTTAACATTTTACCATCTAAACTATTCATTAGAAATATTGCTAGTTTTTTTTTTATGTTCGAGATACGATATTGTTGATTCTCCAAGATTTCTTTCAGTAATAATGATGAATTCTACATCATATTTAGCAGCCTCACAGAAAAGAGCTTCAATAGTGGATCTAAGACACTTCACAACTTCAAATTTTGTGTGTCAATAATTTGAAAGCAAGCACGTGATATTTTTTTTTGTTTCTTACCCAAGACAGTGAGTTTGGTGCCTCTGCCAAAGTAAGCAGGAGAATAGCTGCTCACAATGACAAAAGGCTTAATGAAAACTCCTGAAGCAGCACCGAGCAGCATTCAGTACTATTCTCTCTTTTTTCACTTAAACCTGAATGCATTCTTTGTATGCAAACATGTCAACAAAACACAATCATTCTGGAATGGAGTGATTTGCCAAAATCAATAAAAAAAAATTGTGAGAACAAAGGGGGTTTGATAAAACACAATTTTCCTCTGGTGGATACAAAACCAAATGCTTTCCAACTATTATCCACAATCTCTGACACTCCTTCTGGTTGTTTTACTGGTAAACTAGTGACCGGCTTACCTAAAACGGTGAGTTTAGTTCCAGCTCCAAAGTAAGCTTCTGACTGCCAGCTCACAGAGCTTCGTGAACTGATAAAAACCGTCAGTGAGGGTAATCTGGGCGTCGAGCCAGAAGCCTCTTATCTGTCCAACCTTTAATGGAGAATGGATCGCACGTGTTTCCACCCTTTCTTACTCATGTTTTGACGAATTTATTTCTCATTTGAATTAAAAAAAAAAAGTATTTACAAGTTTATTTCTTACTTAATAATTACTAAACTGACACCGGTGCCGAAACCGTGTTGGGATTGGAGCCCTTCTTACCTAAAACGGTGACTTTAGTTCCAGCTCCAAAGTAAGCCTCATTGTAGTAGCACAGAGACTCTCTGCTAAAACAAAAACCCTTCCCAGCTCCCAGCTGCTTTCTGCAGTTATTTCTGCTACTTTAATAACTTCAAAGTGCATAAATCTCACACCGAGTTCAGGAAAAACTTAACAATGCATTGCAATTGACCTAGATATATGATAAATATTTAACTGCATTAGCTTCTTACTTAACTGTGTAAATGTTGTTTTCCCCCCCAAAGTTTACCTAGTGCTACCAGCCATGATCGTTTTTATTTTTTACCTAAATGCTTGCTTTAAAAGTCTAATGTGTTGCGTCTTACCTACATTCGAAAGCTTTTCAAAAGCTATATTAAACACTATGGATTTTCTTGACTAGTTTTCCACCAATGGCTTTATGTTACAGATGCTTTATCTGGGCAAACTTTTGAAGCCCCACTCACCTGAGACAGTGACGATACACAGAATGACTTTGACATTTGTTGTCTTATATTGTCACAGATGTGCATGCCTCTTTATGCTCCTTATCTGAAACATTTCAGATTAGAACTCCTCAGGAGGACGCTTTACTTACCCAGAACAGCCAGTTTTGTTCCCTGACTGAAGTAAGCTTCCCTGGTGCCGCACAGCATTAAATCTTCATGACAAAAACCATTGAACTGCACTTAAAACTATAAATACCAGGTTTTGTCATGGCTCTTATACACTGATCCAAGGCCTTTTGTTTATGTTTTGTTTGGTCTGAGTTACTTTTCACTCAGTGAGCTTCATCTTTGTCGTCACAGTGCAGCAATACCGAGCAATCATTTATTTTCACTCAACGTGGAAATGAACTTGTAGGAGCTCCAACTTACCCAAAACAGTGAGTTTAGTTCCTTTTAGTTCCAGTGTCAAACTGAAAGTCTCCTCGACCAAAAAGTCACAAACTGTCCATAATCATCCTGTTCAGACTCCCTCTGATAATCCAGAGGATGATGAGGGTTTAAACCTGCAGGCTGAGCTTCATCATCTCAACATTTGTTTGGTTTTTTGTCGACAAGACCAAAGAAAACTTACAAATCTGACACATAATTACATTTTTAAAAAAGTGAAATGGTATTTTTGATGAAATATTAAAGTAAAAACTGTCTAAAAGATGGCCAGCAGTTCCTCCATCCACAGCGTCTTCAGATGAAGGATTTTTCTGCTCCTTTAACTCTCCTAA